TTCAAAGTGGAAAGCAAAAGAATATAAGAGGGGCCTTGAGACGTGACTAATGACTAGAGGAAATGTCATTTTAGTGCCAGGAATGTCTTTCTTGTTTATTCTGGACCCTATTCGGAATTGGCATCTTTTGAAATTTGTGTGAAATTGGCAAAATTGCTAAATTCTGACCACTGTACTGGATAGTTGAATTTCATAAATGGGTGGTTTCTTGCACCCATTCGATAGAAAAAATGGAGTTCTAGCGAAATATTCATGTTTTTTGTCGACTAGTACAGTGAAATTGGCTGAAAATGGGGCTCAAAGTGGGCAAAATCGCCGATGCGTAAACATCGCCGAGACCGCTAACTTTGCGAGAGCATAATTCCGTAAGTTTTCTATCAAATTTCAAACTTTTGGTGTCTTTATGATCGGGAAAAAATTCTCTATCTTTCACAAGAGAAAATAATTTTTTTTTTTTTAAATTTGGCCGACCCTGAGAACGAGTTTCGGAGAGGGCCTGTCGACCCTCAAAGGGTTAAAGGTAAGTGTCAATTATTCTATTGTTATTAGTCTATTGTTATTGTTGTTATTGTAATTATTCTATTGCATTAAACTTAATATTTCATGTGGTAATATTTTTTTTTTCATACTTTTGGGTGACTTGCACGGATTAATTTGATTTCCATTATTTTTTATGGGGAAAATTAATTCGACTTTCGATATTTTTGACATTCAATAGCTCTCAGGAACGGATTAGTATCAAATGTCGAGGGTCCACTGTATACCCATTCTTCATTTATTCAGGCTTCCTACAATAAATATATTCATCACTGACTGTAAGTTAAGTACAAAAATATTTTAAGGTAAGTAATGTGTCCTAGGTAGTAGGTTGGTAGACAGCAACCACCCAGGGAGGTACTACCGTCCTGCCAAGTGAATATAAAATGAAAACCTGTAATTGTTTTACATAATGGTAGGATTGCTGGTGTTTTTTCTGTCTCATAAACATGCAAGGTTTCAGGTACGTCTTGCTACTTCTGCTTACACTTAGGTCACACTACACATACATGTACAAGCATATGCATACACACCCCTCTGGGTTTTCTTCTATTTTCTTACTAGTTCTTGTTCTTGTTTATTTCCTCTTATCTCCATGGGGAAGTGGAACAGAATTCTTCCTCCGTAAGCCATGCGTGTTGTAAGAGGCAACTAAAATGCCAGGAGCAAGGGGCTAGTAACCCCTCCTCCTGTATATATTACTAAATGTGAAAGGAGAAACTTTTGTTTTTTCTTTTGGGCCACCCCGCCTCGGTGGGATATGGCCGGTGTGTCGAAAGAAAGAAACATGCAAGGTTTCAGGTATGTCTTGCTACTTCTACTTACACTTAGGTCACACTACACATACATGTACAAGCATATATATATACACGCCCCTCTGGGTTTTCTTCTATTTTTCTTACTAGTTCTTGTTCTTGTTTATTTCCTCTTACCTCCATGGGGAAGTGAAACAGAATTCTTCCTCCGTAAGCCATGCGCGTCGTAAGAGGCGGCTAAAATGCCGGGAGCAAGGGGCTAGTAACCCCTTCTCCTGTATATATTACTAAATTTAAAAGGAGAAACTTTTCTTTTACCTTTTGGGCCACCCAGCGTCGGTGGGATACGGCCGGTTTGTTGAAAGAAAGAAGTAATGTGTGTGCTGTATATGCATTATTTAGGCCTAGCTCTATTGTTCACTTAATATTTGATTGTGTAAACATGTTATCAAGCTTTTATATGCATTTGAAAGTGGAAAAAGGCTGTGTTTCACTTTACAGCAATTTTTGCTTTACAGCAGTATCATAGAACCTAACCTGCTGTATAAGCAGGGCCTTCCTGTACTAATGACAGTCACTTCCTTCTTGCCTTTGGTTGTATTTTCACTTGGTAATCTATTAGCAGGTGCTGTAATTAGCTAATATCTAATTTCATTTACTTTGTAGCTTTGACTGTTTTTTTTTTCTGTGAAGGATTTTAAAAGGAGTTTCCTGGGAGTTGTTTATTTCATATCATCTTAGATCAATTTGCATTATATCAAGATATGGTAGAAAGACAGTATGTGCAGACCACCGTTTATAGACTATGTTTTGATCTAAATAAAACACAGGATCAGAACATTTTCTTTGTGAGGCAGTAGGTAGATTGATGGGATAATGATAAAAATGTTAAAAGCAGGTGGGGATATAGTATTGAGTGGTTGGTGATATATCCTATCATTTTCTCACATGTCCTTCTAACCCTTAAACTGTCCAAACGTTCACCTGCGTGGCACTCCGAATATTCTGAAAAATAATTTTTTTTTTTTTTAAATTAACCCTTTGACTGTCGCGGCCTTATATATACGTCTTACGAGGTACCGTGTTTGACGTATATATACTCATAAATTCTAGCGGCTTCAAATCAAGCAGGAGAAAGCTGGTAGGCCCACATGTGAGAGAATGGGTCTGTGTGGTCAGTGTGCACCATATAAAAAAATCCTGGAGCACGCAGTGCATAATGAGAAAAAAAAACTCCAACCATTTTTTTTAATTAAAATGCCGACTTTGTGGTCTATTTTCGTATAGTATTATGGTTGTATTCTCGTTTTCTTGGTCTCATTTGATAGAATGGAAAACATATTATAAAAATAGAGGTGATTTTGATTGATTTTACTATAAAAAGAACCTAGAAATGGAGCTCAAAATAGGGGAAATGTTTGATTTTTGCCAATGTTCAAAAGTAAACAAATGATGCCATTGTCCAATAAATGTCCAACTAGCCATTCTGATATGCAGTCATGAATGGGTTGATGTTATTTATACAATTATTACAGTATTGCAGTAGTCTGCATAATAGTAAGTCTTCTATTTTTTGTTTGAATAAAAATTCAAAATAGAAAGCAAGAGTAATATCAGAGGGGCCTGGAGACATGACTGATGAGCAAAGAAAATGTTATTTTAGAGCCAGGAATGTCTGCATTGTTCATTCTGGACCTTATTTTGAAATTGTCATATTTTTTAGTTTTCGTGAAATTGGCCAAATTGCAAATTTCTGACCACATTATTAGGTAGTTGAAATCGGTAAATGGGCAGTTTCTTGTACTCAATTGATAGAAAAAATGGAGTTCTAAAGAAATAGCTATGAGTTTGGGCGACAGGAACAATGGAATTAGCCGAAAATAGGGCTCAAAGTGGGCGAAATCGCCGATTTGTAAACAGCGCCGAGGTCGCTAACTTCGCGAGAGCATAATTCCATCAGTTTTCCATCAAATTTCGTTTTTTTTGGTGTCATTACAATCGGGAAAAGATTCTCTATCATTTCATAAGAAAAAATATTTTTTTTTTTTTTTTAAATTTTGCGACACCAGGAGACACCTCAGGATTGGGGGTTGCGACAGTCAAAGGGTTAAAGAGGACAATTTTCAGTGTGCTATAAGACCCAAAAAAAAATTTTAGGACCAGTACTTACCGAGATATAAGACCGGGAAGTTTGCTCTGGATGCTCACCTGACGGCAACATCCAGTCTTGCTGCTTGTAGAAGTGTTGCTGATTTACCTTTTTTTCTCGTTTTTGTTTTAATTTATATAATTTTTATGTTCTGATAATTTTTATGTATGTCTGTCTATCTGTATCTATCTGTTTATCTATCTGTCTAGCTCTGCTTATTTATCTGGTTCTGTTTATATGTCTTTCTGTCTGCCTGTGTGTGCCTGGAGTATATATATGAAACTCCTTGAAGAATGGTGTTATGACAAGCATCAGACAACCGGTGACAGCCAGTGACATTTGATGAATGTGCACTGCTGCAGGGAATGAATGGTGTTATGACAAGCATGAGATAACTGGTGACAGCCAGTGACATTTGATGAATGTGAGTTGCTGCAGGGAACCCTTGCTCTATTTGTTTTTGCTGTTGCACACAAATATGTCTATCTGTATGTCTGTCTGTCTGTGTCTGTCTATCTGTCTGTGTGTTTTTATCTGTCTACCTGTGTGTGTCTGTCTTTCCATCTGTTTGTCTCTGTCTCAGGGAGCTAGTAAACCTGTTGGTTTGTGGTTTATGAGCTGCTCCTTGATTGCTGAGCACGTAACACTGCTATTACTTGTATCATGTTTATTTATGTCTTATATTTACAAACACTGTATAGCACTTTGCCTGGAATTTTTAGGTTATCCTAAGTAATTTACACTATGTATAATAACTGTACTTATGTGTACATGTGAGAGACAGAGATATAGAAAAATAGACAGAGATATAGACAGATAGGCAGAGATATAGACAGACAGATACAGACAGACAGCCAAAGCCATCCAGCCGACCAGCTAGCCAGTCTGCTGAATACATAAGAACATAAGAAAGAAGGAACACTGCAGCAGGCCTACTGGCCCATGCAAGGCAGGTCCATGTCACCCCCCAGCTTAGACCAATTGACCCACCTAGTCAGGTCACATCCACTGAAGAAAGCACGGCATCTGACCTAGTAGCATAGGCTAGTCAGGTCCAACTCACACCCACTCGTGTATTTATTTAACCTATTTTTACATTCCTCTTAAAATGGGAGTGTTAATACGACATAACATCAGTGAATCCCTGGTGTTTGCCGTGCTATTTGCTCTAGCTGGAGCTCAATTGAACTGGTGCTCCCACAAGGTACTAAGTGGTCCCCGATTTTTTTTCATACTGTGCACACTGAGTACACAGACCCATTCTTTCATGTCTAGGCAACTCAGGCCTATCGCACCAAATTTGAAGGAATGGAAAATAAAACGTTGATCTACGTTTGGAGCTGCGCACGTGCACATAGATCTACATATGGACAGTTTAAGGGTTAAACCACTTGTCTGTATCTGTTGCCAAGATTTATAACAGAACTTAATCATGATAAACCTCTTTTTGAAGTTAAATTTAATCTGTAAACAAAGATTTACTGTACAGATAAAGTCATTCTATCATGCTTATCAGCAAGCCTTTTCTCTCAAGCATAGTGTATTTTGACTTTCTTCAGTGTGGGTGGAGCAGTGAGGCAGCTAGCATGGGACCCACGCAGTGAACGGTTGGCCATTGTGTTCCGTGATACAGAGTGTGTGGTGCTCTTCCACACACACACTCATCCTACACTGCATCTTTCTCCAGGGTAAGTCAGTCTTACAGTAAGGTATTAGCCTCCATAGAAAATATGGTATTACTCTTAAATTTAACATGCAAATTGACAAAATTGGTTCAAAATGGCTGGTAGGGAGTGAGAGTGAGTGTGAGTGAGTGAAAGTCTGAGTGTGCATACATACATATACATCACATACACGGAATTAAAAAAAAATTCAATTTAAAAACATCATCTAAAATAAATGCTGCAGACATTCTAGGAACTAAAGCAACATTTCCTCTGCTCATTAATCATGTACTAAGGCTTCTCCTATATTACACTTGCCCACCATTTTAAATTCATCATCACATAAATAAAAGATTTGCCCTATTTCTCAGATAAAATATAACCAGGAATGATTGGTCATGATTTAGGGTGTCCCAATAATTGAATCAGACGTAGTAAAAACCCATAAAACAGATTGGGGGGGTGTAGGCCTTTTTTTTTTTCTTTTTTTTTTTTAAACAAGTCTGCCGTCTCCCACCAAGGTAGGGCGACCCAAAAAAAAAAGAAAATCCCCAAAAAGAAAATACTTTCATCATCATTCAACACTTTCACCTTACTCACACATAATCACTGTTTTTGCAGAGGTGCTCAGAATACAACAGTTTAGAAGTATATATGTACGTATAAAGATACACAACATATCCCTCCAAACTGCCAATATCCTAAACCCCTCCTTTAGAGTTCAGGCATTGTACTTTCCATTTCCAGGACTCAAGTCTGGCTATATAAAAATAACCGGTTTCCCTGAATCCCTTCAATAAATATTACCCTGCTCACACTCCAACAGCTCATAAGGTCCCAAATACCATTCGTCTCCATTCACTCCTATCTAACATGCTCACGCATGCTTGCTGGAAGTCCAAGCCCCTAGCCCACAAAACCTCCTTTACCCCCTCCCTCCAACCTTTTCGAGGACGACCCCTACCCCGCCTTCCTTCCCCTACAGATTTATACACTCTCCATGTCATTCTACTTTGATCCATTCTCTCTAAATGACCAAACCACCTCAAACCCCCTTCAGCCCTCTGACTAATACTTTTATTAACTCCACACCTTCTCCTAAGTTCCACACTCCGAATTTTCTGCATAATATTTACACCACACATTGCCCTTAGACAGGACATCTCCACTACCTCCAACCACCTCCTCGCTGCAGCATTTACAACCCAAGCTTCACACCCATATAAGAGTGTTGGTACTACTATACTTTCATACATTCCCTTCTTTGCCTCCATAGATAACATTTTTTGCCTCCACATATACCTCAATGCACCACTCACCTTTTTTCCTTCATCAATTCTATGATTAACCTCATCCTTCATAAATCCATCCACTGACATGTCAACTCCCAAATATCTGAAAACATTCACTTCTTCCATACTACTCCTCCCCAGTTTGATATCCAATTTTTCTTTATCTAAATCATTTGACACCCTCGTCACCTTACTCTTTTCTAAGTTCACTTTCAACTTTCTACCTTTACACACACTCCCAAATTCATCCACTAACCTTTGCAATTTTTCTTTAGAATCTCCCATAAGCACAGTATCATCAGCAAAAAGTTACTCTGTCACTTCCCATTTTGTATTTAATTCCCCATAATTTAATCCCACCCCTCTCCCGAACACCCTAGCATTTACTTCTTTTACAACCCCATCTATAAATATATTGAACAACCATAGTGACATTACACATCCCTGTCTAAGACCTACTTTTACCGGGAAGTAGTCTCCCTCTCTTCTACACACCCTAACCTGAGCCTTACTATCCTCATAAAAACTTTACAGCATTTAGTAACTTACCATCTATTCCATATACTTGTAATTTCTACCACATTGCTTCCCTATCCATTCTATCATATGCCTTTTCTAAATCCATAAATGCAATAAAAACTTCTCTTTCTTTCTTTCAACACACCGGCCGTATCCCACCGAGGCGGGGTGGCCCAATAGGAAAAACAAAAGTTTCTCCTTTTACATTTAGTAATATATACAGGAGAAGGGGTTACTAGCTCCTTGCTCCTGGCATTTTAGTTGCCTCTTACAAGACGCATGGCTTACGGAGGAAGAATTCTGTTTCACTTCCCCATGGAGATAAGAGGAAATAAACAAGAACAAGAACTAGAAAGAAAATAGGAGAAAACCCAGAGGGGTGTTTATATATATGCTTGTACATGTATGTGTAGTGTGACCTAAGTGTGAGTAGATGTAGCAACACATAACTGAAACCTTGCATGTTTATGAGACAGAAAAATGGACACCAGCAATCCTACCATCATGTAAAACAATTATAGGTTTACATTTTACACTCACTTGGCAAGATGGTAGTACCTCCCTGGGTGGTTGCTGTCTGCCAACCTACTACCTAGAAAAAACTTCTCTACCTTTATCTAAATGCTGTTCACATATATGCTTCAATGTAAACACTTGATCTACACATCCCCTACCAACTCTAAAACCTCCTTTCTCATCCGTAATTCTACATTCTGTCTTACCTCTAATTCTTTCAATAATAACCCTACCATACACTTTTCCAGGTATACTCAGTAAACTTATTCCTCTGTAATTTTTACAATCTCTTTTTTTCCCCTTCCCTTTATATAAAGGGACTATACACACTCTCTGCCAATCCCTAGGTACCTTCCCCTCTTTCATACATTTATTAAAAATACTAACCACTCCAACACTATGTCCCCCCCCTGCTTTTAACATTTCTGTCATGATCCCGTCAGTTCCAGCTGCTTTACCCCCTTTCATTCTACTTAATACCTCACGCACCTTCCCCGCACTCACATCCTGCTCTTCTTCACTCCTAAAAGATGGTATACCTCCCTGTCCAGTGCATGAAATTACCGCCTCCCTTTCTTCGTCGACATTTAAAAGTTCCTCAAAATATTCTTGCCATCTACCCAATACCTCCATCTCCCCTACTCTGTTTTTAACTGACCTAACTGTTTTTAACTAGGCTTTCTTAACTTGTTTAACTCACTCCCAATTTTTTTCTTATTTTCATTAAAATTTCTTGGCAGTGCCTCTCCCACTCTATGATCCGCTCTCCTTTTGCACTCTCTCACCACTCTTCACCTTTCGTTTACTCTCCATATACTCTACTCTTCTTATAACACTTCTGCTTTGTAAATATCTCAAATAAGCTACCCTTTTCTCTTTTATCACACCCTTTACTTCATCATTCCACCAATCACTCCTCTTTCCTCCTACACCCACCCTCCTATAACCACAAACTTGTGCCCCACATTCTAATACTGCATTTTGAAGACTATTCCAACCCTCTTCAATCCCCCCACTAATACTTGCACCAGCCCACCTTTCTGCCAATAGTTGCTTATATTTTACCCGAACTTCCTCCTCCCTTAGTTTATACACTTTCACCTCCCTCTTACTTGTTGTTGCCATTTTCCTCTTATCCCATCTACCTCTTACTCTAACTGTAGCTACAACTATATAATGATCCGATATATCAGTTGCCCCTCTATAAACGTGTGCATCCTGGAGCCTACCCATCAACCTTTTATCCACCAATACATAATCTAACAATCTACTTTCATTATGTGCTATATCATACCTTGTATATATATTTATCCTCTTTTTCATAAAATATGTACAGTATTACTTATTACCAAACTTCTGTCTATACATAGCTTAATTAACCCTTAAACTGTCCAACCAGATCTACATTCACATGTGTAGTGCTCCAAAAGTAGATCTTCATTTTTTTACATATTTTCAAATATAAAAAAAAAATGTAGATCATAGTTTTTTTACACATTTTCAAATGTAAAAAACAAAAGAAGATCTACAGTTTAACCCGTAAACGGTCCAAACGCATATACGTATACGTTTTTACCGCTAGTGCCCCAAACGTATATATACGTTTTATGTGTCCTACATTTAACATTGCCTCGATAAGCCTGAGTCGCCTAGACATGTGAAAATGGGTGTGAGCACTCACTGTGCACCATATTAAAATAATTGGGGATGCCTGGGTACCATATGCTCTTTTTTCCTATTAAAAAACCAATTTTTTTTTTTTCTCAAAAAAGTTGGGGCAATACGGTAGTGAACGTATATATACGTTTGGACCATTTACGGGTTAAGGGTTAAAGACTCCCCATTTTCATTTACCCCTGGCACTCCAAATTTACCTACTACTCCCTCCACAGCATTTTTACCCACTTTAGCATTAAAATCCCCAACCACAAGTACTCTCACACTTGGTTCAAAACTCCCCATGCATTCACACAACATTTCCCAAAATCTCTCTCTCTACTCTATACTTCTTTCTTCCCCAGGTGCATATACACTTACTATAACCCACTTCTCACATCCAACCTTTATTTTACTCCACATAATACTTGAATTATTACATTTATAGTCCCTTTTTTCCTGCCATAGCTTATCCTTCAACATTATTACTACTCCTTCTTTAGCTCTAACTCTGTTTGAAACCCCTGACCTAATACCATTTATTCCTCTCCACTGTAACTCACCCACCCCCTTCAGCTTTGTTTCACTTAAAGCCAGGACATCCAGCTTCTTCTCATTCATAACATCCACAATCATCTCTTTCTTATCATTCACATAACATCCACGCACATTCAGACTTCCCACTTTGACAATTTTCGTCTTGTTCTTTTTAGTAATTATTACAGAAAGGGGGTTACTAGCCCATTGTTCCTGGCATTTTAGTTGACTTTTACAACAAGCATGGCTTACGGAGGAAAGATTCTAATTCCGCTTTCTCATGGATATAAAAGGAAAAGTAATAAGAACAAGAACTAAGATAAAATCAAAGAAAACTCAGTTGAGTGTGTATAAATAAACGTGTACATGTATGTTTAGTGTGACCTAAGTGTAAGTAGAAGTAGCAAGACGTACCTGTAATCTTGCATATTTATGAGACAGACAAAAGACACCAGCAATCCTACCATCATGTAAAACAATTACAGGCTTTCGTTTTACATTCACTTGCCAGGACGGTAGTACCTCCCTGGGTGGTTGCTGTCTACCAACCAACACTATGTCCCTCCCCCTGCTTTTAACATTTCTGTCATGATCCCTTATCCATCAATAATCAAGTATTTCCACTACTTTGGGCCCAATTTCCTGTCCTGAAACCAACCAGATTAACTCTTTGTCAGTAGTATATCTTCCATTCTATCAAATGATACCAAGAAACAGCCAATAAAGCCATAAAAACCATCCTAGAAAACACCTCAAAGTCCCTATTTTAAACAAACATGAGGTCAGAGTTTTTCCCCTCATGCACTGTGTTGAGCAGGATTTTTTTATATAGTGCACACTCATTGCACAGGCCTATTCTTTGATGTCTAGGCGAAAAATTTACTGCTGACAGCATATCTAAGGGAGCTGAGTTCAAAACATAGATCTTCATAAGTGACCCTAGTGTCAATAATGGAGATCTATGGACAAGACACTGATAAGGTTAACAGCACATTTTATGAGCACTCAGATGTAGAGTGCGATCTTACTACTTAACATTATACATTTTGTTATTAGTTAAGAAAAATATAAGCACATCCAGTTTAAAGAAATAACCACTGTGTTGATGGTTGAGTTGACTATGTTTGTTATGAATCTTTGACTGGTAACCTGCCCAAGGTAAAGGTTGGGTTGAACTCAGAAAGGAATCATTTGATTTAACATGAACTGGGTTTACTGCCAACTGCATATGAAGGTTAACATGTTTGTTGGCTTTCTGTCTTGACAAGGTGATAATTCTCTTAGGAGGAGGCTCACAGTAGCCTCTAAGTACTGTAGCTTATAACCTTATGCTGCTTACAGAGGATAAACAAAATGAATTCGGTGAAGTGAAATTGAGGAGGAGGAGGAGGATAGCAAGTGGAATTGTGAATAAACACTCTAATTTATGTGTGTCTTGTAGCTCAAGTATTTTCACTACATTAAAAGAGAAAATGATTATCCAGCATTAGCATATTTTGTCTTGATCATACTGGATTTAATTTTCAGAATTTGAATACCTTTTGACTACAAATGTATTATTTTTATACTGCTCTATTTAATGTATTATATAGGAACCCACGTATTGGAAGTTTATGGAAATTGGCATTAATTGTTTTTTTATTAGCAGTATCATGATGTATGGTTAGAGATTAGACTCAGCCTTACAAAAAGGCACGGTTGGTGCAGGATTGTCTCTTGTCATGGGAATAGAATTTCTTACTGGAATTTCAAAGTTTTGCTATGAGTTGACTCTTAATATCTAAGTAGATGGTGGTGTGTAGAATAGTTTGTTCCAAGGATATTTTCTTTAAAATGTACTATACCTATTTATAAATCATAAAAAATTTTTGGCAGTGGATTCATAAGAGGTGAAGCTGGTCACATTGCTGTCAGTGTGAGTTTTCAAGAGAACTTATGCAGTGGCGCTGTGCTATCCGTGGTATGTCCCATTTTCATATTAACTAAATACATACTGTATTTTAATATCGTACTGAAATTTCTCTTGATATAATGAATAAGAATGAAAGTATGAAATAATTAAGAAATTTATTGTAAGAGTATTTCAATTTTGTTGAACAGGTGTGGAGCAGTGGCCAGGTACAGCATCTTCCCATGCGTTACTCTTCCCGAGAACCTCTCAACTCTTCTCTTGATACCAGTCTCTTCAGTGCCTCTGTCCCTGTCCGAGTAGCGCATAATTCCTTGCTTAATTCCAGCATTCCTCGCAATACCTCCATGGGTTATGCTGGTTCATCAGTTATGTCACCCCTTATTGGTGGTCTGTTCACTTCACCCTGATTTGGTTGTAAATTTAAAGCTCAAGATTTAGTGCCTGATTTGAATTACATTAATATAGATACAGGTTGATATTTCTAAATATTTTTATATTTCCAAAATTATTTAAATTATCTCTTTAGTTGTTTATGTTCATGACTTGAAAACTTTGACCTGCTTTTTTATATGATGTGCCCTATCACTGTCAGTCTTTTTCCTTCTTTTTCCTACCCCCTCTCATTCATCTGCTGTTTTGTAGAAATAACCTGACCATCTTAGCACATGTTTTCATATACATATTTTAAAATTAAAATTTTTTCTTATTAACACTTGTCATTTCCCACCAATGTTAAGGTGATGCAAAGCAGGAAGTATTCACTATCACTCATTTTCTTTCTTCTCACTAAATATCTCTCATTCTTTCTTTTTCTCACTTTCTCTGTATAAATTGACAAGTCATTCTTCCACCTTTCTCCTCCTCTGTCTCCTTTCTCTCTCTTGTCTCTTATCCTCATCCTCATAATCCTCATCATCCTCATCCTCTTCCTCATCATCCTCCTCCTCATCATCATCCATCATTATCCATCATCATCATCATGATCATCATCATGATTATCATCATCATGATTATCATCATCATGATCATCATGATCATCATCATGATCATCATGATCATCATCATGATCATCATCATCATGATCATCATCATGATCATCATGATCATCATCATCATGATCATCATCATCATGATCATGATGATCATCATGATCATGATCATCATCATTATCATCATCATCATCATCATCATCATCATCATCATCATCATGATCATGATCATCATCATCATCATCATCATCATCATCATCATCATCATCATCATCATCATCATCATCATCATCATCATCATCATCATCATCATCATCATCATCATCATCATTATCATCATCATCATGATCATCATCATCATGATCATCATCATGATCATCATCTCCCTCCCTCCCTCCCTCCTCCCTCCCTCCCTCCCTCCCTCCCTCTCCTCCCTCCTCCTCCCTCCCTCCCTCCCTTCCTCCCTCCTCCTCCCTCCTCCTCCCTCCTCCTCCCTCCTCCTCCTCCCTCCTCCTCCCTCCTCCTCCCTCCTCCTCCTCCCTCCTCCTCCCTCCTCCTCCCTCCTCCTCCTCCCTCCTCTCCTCCCTCCTCCTCCTCCTCCCTCCTCCTCCTCCCTCCTCCTCCTCCCTCCTCCTCCTCCCTCCTCCTCTACATCTACATTAACAAGAAATAAATTTAAAGCTCCTGCATTTTGGTTACTTTATCCACCTTCTTTCTTGCTATCCCCTTTTTTTTTACCAAGCTTCTCAACTCTCACACCTGTACAGATTCTACACAAATTTTGTACATTAAATGAAATAAAATTGTTTTATGTTTATTTGTTTATGTTTTGACTTGAATTCCTGATTATCTCATCTCAGACAAAATAGTTGGAAGACCTGAGCATATCTAAAATGATTTTCACTACATTCACAAGAAAATGTTGAGAATAATCAAATTTTACCACTACCAAGGATACATTCTATTAAGAAAGAGACCATTATATTTACAAATGCTTCTAGTGTGAATACTTGTGAGGGGGTTACTAATCTATGGACCCTTGTGGGTTTAGCACTTAGTTATGATTATAATAAATTCTTTCTTCTTCTTTCAACAAACCGGCCGTATCCCACCGAGGCGGGGTGGCCCAAAAGGAAAAACGAAAGTTTCTCCTTTTACATTTAGTAATATATACAGGAGAAGAGGTTACTAGCCCCTTGCTCCCGGCATTTTAGTCGCCGCTTACAACACGCATGGCTTACGGGAACAATTCTGTTCCACTTCCCCATGGAGGTAAGAGGAAATAAACAGGAACTAGAAAGAAAATAGAAGAAAGCCCAGATGGGTGTGTATATATATGTTTGTACATGTATGTGTAGTGTGACCTAAGTGTAAGTAGAAATAGCAAGACATACCTGAAATCTTGCATGTTTATGAGACAGAAAAAAGGACACCAGCAATCCTACCATCATGTAAAACAATTACAGGCTTCCGTTTTACACTCACTTGGCAGGACGATAGTACCTCCCTGGGCGGTTGCTGTCTACCAACCTACTACCTAGGTATAATAAATTATAATTATAGGTAGTAGGTTGGTAGACAGCAACCACCCAGGGAGGTACTACCGTCCTGCCAAGTGAGTGTAAAACGAAAGCCTGTAATTGTTTTACATGATGGTAGGATTGCTGGTGTCTTTTGTCTGTCTCATAAATACGCAAGATTACAGGTACGTCTTGCTACTTCTACTTACACTTAGGTCACACTACACATACATGTACATGTTTATTTATACACACTCATCTGAGTTTTCTTTGATTTTATCTTAATAGTTCTTGGTCTTATTACTTTTCCTTTTATATCCATGGGGAAGTGGAATAAGAATCTTTCCTCCGTAAGCCATGCGTGTTGTAAAAGTCAACTAAAATGCCGGGAACAATGGGCTAGTAACCCCTTTTCCTGTAAAGATTACTAAAAAGAATAAGAAGAAGAAAATTGTCAAAGTGGGAAGTCTGAATGTGCATGGATGTTGTGCAAATGATAAGAAAGAGATGATTGTGGATGTTATGAATGAGAAGAAACTGGATGTCCTGGCTTTAAGTGAAACAAAGCTGAAGGGGGTGGGAGAGTTTTAATGGAGAGGAATAAATGGGATTAGGTCAGGGGTTTCAAATAGAGTTAGAGCTAAAGAGGAGTAGCAATAATGTTGAAGGATAAGCTATGGCAGGAAAAGAGGGACTACAAATGTATAAATTCAAGGATTATGTGGAGTAAAATAAAGATTGGATGTGAAAAGTGGGTTATAGTAAGCGTGTATGCACCTGGAGAAGAGAGAAGTGTAGAGGAGAGAGAGAGATTCTGGGAAATGTTGAGTGAATGCGTGGGGAGTTTTGAATCAAGTGTGAGAGTAATGGTTGTTGGGGATTTCAATGCTAAAGTGGGTAAAAATGTTATGGAGGGAGTAGTAGGTAAATTTGGGGTGCCAGGGGTAAATGTAAATGGGGAGCCTTTAATTGAGCTATGTGTAGAAAGAAATTTGGTAATAAGTAATACATATTTTATGAAAAAGAGGATAAATAAATATACAAGGTATGATGTAGCACGTAATGAAAGTAGTTTGTTAGATTATGTATTGGTGGATAAAAGGTTGATGGGTAGGCTCCAGGATGTACATGTTTATAGAGGGGCAACTGATATATCGGATCATTATTTAGTTGTAGCTACAGTTAGAGTAAGAGGTAGATGGGAAAAGAGGAAGGTGGCAACAACAAGTAAGAGGGAGGTGAAAGTGTATAAACTAAGGGAGGAGGAAGTTTGGGTGAGACATAAGCAACTATTGGCAGAAAGGTGGGCTAGTGCAAAGATGAGTAGTGGGGGGGTTGAAGAGGGTTGGAATAGTTTTAAAAATGCAATATTAGAATGTGGGGCAGAAGTTTGTGGTTATAGGAGGGTGGGGGCAGGAGGAAAGAGGAGTGATTGGTGGAATGATGAAGTAAAGGGTGTGATAAAAGAGAAAAAAGTAGCTTACGAGAGGTTTTTACAAAGCAGAAGTGTTATAAGAAGAGCAGAGTATATGGAGAGTAAAAGAAAGGTGAAGAGAGTGGTGAGAGAGTGCAAAAGGAGAGCAGATGAAAGAGTGGGAGAGGCACTGTCAAGAAATTTTAATGAAAATAAGAAAAAATTTTGGAGTGAATTAAACAAGTTAAGAAAGCCTAGGGAAAGTATGGATTTGTCAGTTAAAAACAGAGTAGGGAGTTAGTAGATGGGGAGAGGGAGGTATTAGGTAGATGGCGAGAATATTTTGAGGAACTTTTAAATGTTGAGGAAGAAAGGGAGGCGGTAATTTCATGCACTGGCCAGGGAGGTATACCATCTTTTAGGAGTGAAGAAGAGCAGAATGTAAGTGTGGTGGAGGTACGTGAGGCATTACGTAGAATGAAAGGGGTAAAGCAGCTGGAACTGATGGGATCATGACAGAAATGTTAAAAGCAGGGGGGGATATAGTGTTGGAGTGGTTGGTACTTTCGTTTAATAAATGTATGAAAGAGGGGAAGGTACCTAGGGATTGGCGGAGAGCATGTATAGTCCCTTTATATAAAGGGAAAGGGGACAAAAGAGATTGCAAAAATTATAGAGGAATAAGTTTACTGAGTATACCAGGAAAAGTATACGGTAGGGTTATAATTGAAAGAATTAGAGGTAAGACAGAATGTAGAATTGCGGATGAGCAAGGAGGCTTCAGAGTGGGTAGGGGATGTGTAGATGAAGTGTTTACATTGAAGCATATATGTGAACAGTATTTAGATAAAGGTAGGGAAGTTTTTATTGCATTTATGGATTTAGAAAAGGCATATGATAGAGTGGATAGAGGAGCAATGTGGCAGATGTTGCAAGTATATGGAATAGGTGGTAAGTTACTAAGCTGTAAAGAGCTTTTATGAGGATAGTGAGGCTCAGGTTAGGGTGTGTAGAAGAGAGGGAGAATACTTCCCGGTAAAAGTAGGTCTTAGACAGGGATGTGTAATGTCACCATGGTTTGTTTAATATATTTATAGATGGGGTTGTAAAAGAAGTAAATGCTAGGGTGTTCGGGAGAGGGGTGGGATTAAATTATGGGGAATCAAATTCAAAATGGGAATTGACACAGTTACTTTTTGCTGATGATACTGTGCTTATGGGAGATTCTAAAGAAAAATTGCAAAGGTTAGTGGATGAGTTTGAGAATGTGTGTAAAGGTAGAAATTTGAAAGTGAACATAGAAAAGAGTAAGGTGATGAGGGTATCAAATGATTTAGATAAAGAAAAATTGGATATCAAATTGGGGAGGAGGAGTATGGAAGAAGTGAATGTTTTCAGATACTTTGGAGTTGACGTGTCGGCGGATGGATTTATGAAGGATGAGGTTAATCATAGAATTGATGAGGGAAAAAAGGTGAGTGGTGCGTTGAGGTATATGTGGAGTCAAAAAACGTTATCTATGGAGGCAAAGATGGGAATGTATGAAAGTATAGTAGTACCAACACTCTTATATGGATGTGAAGCTTGGGTGGTAAATGCAGCAGCGAGGAGACGGTTGGAGGAAGTGGAGATGTCCTGTCTAAGCGCAATGTGTGGTGTAAATATTATGCAGAAAATTCGGAGTGTGGAAATTAGGAGAAGGTGTGGAGTTAATAAAAGCATTAGTCAGAGGGCAGAAGAGGGGTTGTTGAGGTGGTTTGGTCATTTAGAGAGAATGGATCAAAGTAGAATGACATGGAAAGCATATAAATCTATAGGGGAAGGAAAGAGGGGTAGGGGTCGTCCTCGAAAGGGTTGGAAAGAGGGGGTAAAGGAGGTTTTGTGGGCGAGGGACTTGGACTTCCAGCAAGCGTGCATGAGCGTGTTAGATAGGAGTGAATGGAGACGAATGATACTTGGGACCTGACGATCTGTTGGAGTGTGAACAGGGTAATATTTAGTGAAGGGATTCAGGGAAACTGGTTATTTTCATATAGTCGGACTTGAGT